CAGCCGCGGGGGATATAAACCCCATCGTCATAATTCGCAGGCAGCCAGCGGGTAAATGCAGTGTTTGCAGCACCCAGACGAGAGTTTTTCCTGCAAAAGGTTCAAGAAGAGGTTAATTCCACGCTGAAAAGTAGAGAGAAGAAACATCACGTTCCAGCTGCTGTGCCTCTCCATTAGTGGAGATGGGAGCAGGCATATGAAGCACTGGCGAACAAAAGGACAGAGCAGGAGAGAAAGAGTGTCGAAACTATCTATTGATTAGTAAGCTGAAGCAAATGTCCGTTAACCATAACATTATAAGATGGTACCTTTCATTTTTAACAAACCGCACACAGTATGTCAGGGTCAACAGAACTCTTTCCGAGTCACGATCTATTAGCACAGGTGCCCCTCAGGGCTGTGTGAGCTCTCCAGTTCTGTTCACACTTTATACAAATGATTGTACAAGCAGTAGTCAAAGCAACTTCATTTTCAAATTCTCAGATGATACAGCTGTGCTTGGCTTAATGCATAGAGGTAGCAGCTCATCTGTGTACATGTCAGATGCACAAATCCAAAGATTTGTGCAATGGTGTGACAACAACAGCCTACTTTTGAATGCTAATAAAACAAAAGAAATAGTTTTCGATCCCAGAACAGTTGGTGATCACTCACAGGTAGTAATCCACAACAAACTTATCACTCAGGTTGACTCAAATAAATACTTAGGTGTAGACATAGACCGTAACCCGTGCTGGTCTACTCATGTTGAGAGTGTTTGCTCCAAAGTTCAGCAGCGCTTATATTTCCTGCGAAGACTAAGAGTGTTTGGGGTTCGACAGGAGGTAATGCTACTCTTCTACCGTGCTGTAATCGAGAGCATTATCAGGTATGGTATTTCGGTGTGGTTTAGTAATCTATCAGTTCATTTTAAATCGCAAATTACCCGCCTCATCCAGACAGCTTTGAAAGTCATGGGAGTGAAACAGCACCCCTCCCTGCAGACAATCTTTGAAAAATCCATAATCAAACAGGCAGGAAAAATGATATCAGATCCATCCCACATCCTCAACTCTGAATATCAACTTCTTCCTTCTAGCAAATGGTTTTAGGGTTCCCAAATGTAAGTCAAACAGATACAAACATTCCTTTGTTCCACTACCCATTAAAGCTGTCAATGCAAATGTCAAGGATAAACACAATTTTGACTCTTACAACCCACTTGAGTGCAATATGTTTTTGTGATGTGTTATAAGTGTTACATGTTGTTATGTGTTATACTGTACATGTGCAATAGAATGATGTGCAATGTTTTTATTATTTTTTTTGTAATAGTATAATGTGCAGGATCAGTTCCTGGGATGCTGTCTGCTTGGAGTTTGTATGTTCCCCTCGTGTTTGCTGGGGTCTCTTCTGGGTTCCGATTTCCTCCCACAGTCCAAAGACATACCGGTAGGTTACCTGTCTCCTGGGAAATTGGCCCTGGTGTGAGTGTGTGTCTGTGTGTGCTCTGCGACCGACTGGGGTCCTGTTCAAGAGTGTATTCTGCTTTGCACCCGTTGCTTGCTGGGATAAGCAGTCAGAAAATGGATATTTACTGAATTATCTTTTCAATAGGAGGGTGAGTGCACAGTGTTATGGGCAAAAAAAGAAGGAGCAATTCGTTTCTGAAAAAAAAAGATTGCTTTTAAATTGAAGCACGACAAGTCTGACAAGTCGGGCTGGTTTGTTTAGAGCTGTGCAAAGGGAGATCTGTTTCATGTATCGTTTGCACACAGAGTGAATGCCTGCTAACTGCCCCCTCTGCAGGAAAGGCTGGCAGGGCTTCAAGGCACAGCGATGTGGGCGGCGCAAGCTTGGGCAGGGGGAGCTGTCCAGTGCTGACCTGTTGTTGCACACGCTGTTGATGGTCCTGTACTCATTGACCTCAGGGGTGGTGAAGCAGGACGGGGGTTGAACCCTGGCAGCACAGCCAGTCAGCCTTTCAACCGTCTCTAGGTCTTCCTTCGACAGCAGGTCTGCAGACAGGCAGGTGAGGACAAGCAGCGAGGCCACAGTGAAGTTAAAGACTTGTCTGGGAAAGCTCAAGTCAAAAGCCTTTGTTTATTAAAGAAACAAAAACAACCCTGCAAATCCCCTCTACGTCACTGAAGGGAAAATAAAATAGATATTTTTTTTATTACACATTTGATTTAAGAGGGCGCTTTGACATGTAAGGCTTGCTCCTACGGTACATCTGTTTCTTACTCCGTTCTCAAGGAATTCATGACGTACTGTATGTGCGCCATTTAAGAGCAAGAGGCGGCGTTGTTCTCTGGTGTACCCAGAACGGTGCTCTCTCGGTCTCTGGAGCTGACCTGTGGCGTTGATAGCACGCTTGTGGAGATGGTGGGTTCTCTCCTGGATGAGTCTCAAGGCGTTTTCCATGTACTCGGCCGAGCGCACCGCCGAGCGCGTATCGCGGGAGGGGCGCTTGAGGAACGCCAGGAGATCCGAGGGCTTCGAGAAGCTTTCCCGCAGCTTGGACACGTCCCTGCGGTACGGTTCTCATGTCACATTACAGTTGTCGTTATACTGGCTTCATTCATATTTTTAGAATGACCTAGACTGGTTAACGAAGAAATGACAGATGTTGCTGATTCCTTACCGTTTTAACTGGTAAATTTGGTTATTTTGTATGACTGGATTTGATGTAAGCCACTGATATGCCAGCCACAATATACTACATGCTTCATTAGAAGCCGTAAAACATAATTTCGACATGTAAGAATTTTTCTTTTTTGTTATGAGTCGATTCTCAAGCCGGTCTTGGAGGGCTTTTCAGGAATGTGCCGTCCGTTACATCCGGACAGTCGCGGAGCTAAGCTCGTTTTCTAAGAAAAGGATCCCCCTACATTGCGTCTTCTAATTAAAAGCGAATTTTTCAGTGCCGAGTTGGGGTTCGCTGCCACTGGCAATTCTAGTTCTAGGCGTAATATTTTTTAAAAACGCCTGGTGTATCTCAATTCAAATTCTTTTTGTTTTAAAAAAGCACCACTGTTGGTAATGCCGACGAATAACAGCGTTGCCAAAGCAATAATAATTAGTAAAATATCTACATCAAAAACAGTGTTATGAGACATTATACAACAAAGGCCACTCTCTGTTCCTCCGGCAGCGACTGGAGATCCAGTACTGGGCTGCAGTTCTACGGAGTTTCCAACGCCTTTGTCGTTAAGGCTTGGAGCTGTTCACGCTGTTCTGGCGGGAGTGGGAGTTTTTGCTGGGATGGGATTTGTTACTTCAGGAAAGAAAATTGATCGGTTGACGTTTCACTTACGCTTCTCGCGAATACTTATAGGCGGCGTCCACAGTGCGAATGGCATCTTCTACAGCCCTCTTGATAAAAGCGCGATCAAGACGCGACTCTGAAAGAAGATGATACCAGCTTGTATTTTGGGGGGGATTGGTATTTTCTACGTTTGCCGTTCTGGTTTGGTTACAGGGCAGAATTCACAAACCATTTCTTAATCATTAAATGAGATGAAGTATCAAGGGTTTTTAAAATAAAGCCAAAGTTTTGTGTTTATTTCAGAAACAAGTTGGGGAAGATCACCACAAAAGGAGAAAGCAAAATATTATAACCTTGTAAAGAAATCAAAGCTAAAAACCTGCGTAGTGTCGTTGTTTTTTGCAAGATGATTTCTGTTTTCGTGATTCACTCACCAGTAGAAGAGTTCTCGACGCCAGTCAGCCAAACCGCCAGAACAAGCAGACACGAAATGGAAAACATTTCTATAACACACAAGACAAGGAGAGGAGAGGTGTTATTACAGAACCAGTTACAGATCCGCTGCCGAAGAGACACAATCGAGACTCGCTCGGCTGTCATACAGCTGCAGAGGGGGCTTAATTTTTGACAGCTTTCTTTACTAGTTAAGAACTATTCCTCCACAATTAGTGGTTAGTGATGAAACCGCTCATCATTGAGAGGATAAACGCTAGGCAGCAGCTTGTACAGTGTCAGTCAAACACTGTAGGAAAAGCAGAATGATGGTTTATCACTGATTGAAATAGAGTTTGCACTCAACCTATTTTTTTTAACGAATACTAAAATCAGGAATCACTACCCGTTTTCCCAGAAAGCTAAAATGATCTTCAGTTTTTTATTTCACTTCACCTCTCATTCACTTAATTGAAAGTATTGCCGGTTTAGTTAATAACGATTAATGCGATTTCCCGCCTTTGATTCAACACGGCTATGCACCTTCATCTGTGAAGTACTGGCCACTCTCCAGAGCTGAAGACCATTGACCTGGATGTTACTTTCGAAGAGTGACAGTCTAACAGAGTTTAATGTCACAAGAGATCTCGTTAACAAAGATCTCCAATCACATAGCCTGATCATCAGGAAGCCTGAATGAAAATTAACAACCTCAGATTCAAATTCTGAATCCCTTTCTATGCAAATAAAAACAGTTTTTTAAATACTTTCTTATCCTCAGCTGCAAGAAAACAGTGCCCCCACCAATCTAAATATGCTGTCAAAATACATTCTGAAAAAAGGAAGCCTAAACATATGCTGAAACTGTGTTGATGTCTTCCTGTCTGTGAGGGGGGAAAAACACAATATTAGACAAACACACAGGTGTAAAATAAAATGCAAGTTAAGCTTCAGCAGATAACATGTTATAACATACAGTTAGATGTAGCTAAAAGAATACATTACCTGCACTCCTGAAGACCCTCTCTGCAGAACTTCCTGAAGAGCATCATTTTATTTATGCTGTCTAGTGGCCCCTCCCCCTGTGTAGGAAAACATTGACTTGCTACTGTACATAAACAGCCCCCTTTAAGAGAGACGTGCATTGCTTATTGAAAACAATATTTCCTCCTTCCTTACTTGAATCATTCTCTTGAGCACAAAAATACCACCCCAAACTGTGTAGTTAATATTTTATTCTGTGATGTCAGATAGTTTGAACTGATGTTTTGCATCCTTATCTCAAATCTAGTGACACTTGGTTTTACCATCCACTGTTACAACCTTGGCAGTGAAACTGCTAAACTGCTGTTATTTCTCATAACATTCTGCATAGCTAAAAGCAACCCACAGAAATATTAGCCTTGGCATAGCTGATATTTCTGTGCATGGCTGTAAAATTGAAAAATTAATTTGGAGTTGTATACATCCAATCCTATTTTCCAGTTTGATTAGCAAAATGACTCAAAGATCACTCCAGCAAGACTCAGGGTGGCCATTAAATAACTATAGATTGTCAGTGAGGAAGAATATATTGCTTTTTAAAGTTATTCCATTTTATAGTAGTGTTTGATCTGGCTCCAGAAGCAGCCAAGAAAAACAGATTATAACTGCGCATGTGTAAAAGTTCAATTTAATTTCATTTTAGGCTTTTCTCCATACTATAAGGAAACTGCAGTAACGAAAGAGAACACAAATGCACAACATTGTGTCTTTGTAGTCATTGGTGCAGTAAACATTTCTTCAGCTTGCTCATGTTAGTTGCTGATCTCTTATGTCTGTTGATTTCCTCTGATACTGCATGATCTTTCTTCTGTCCGGACAATGCTACTGCATCAGCGCTGCTGAAAAAATTCAGTGTCTTAGCAGTCAAATACAGTTCCTCTAGGGGGAGATGCGACGCTGGTTGTTTCGTTCTTTTTCTTGTAACCAGATCTGATCATGATACTCAGGGTATACAGTGTTAATTCCATTCCAGTGTTAATTCCCTGAAGGAATCTCCAAGACAGGTTCTTTGCCAACTATTGAATTGATGTTTTATTAATAACAATGGACTGAGCAGAAAAATCAGGAGCTTTGTCAGATACATTTCATCCCAGAAATTGCCCTGCATGTTTTAATCGGCTGTGTACAGGAGGAGGACATGCAATTAAACCCATTGCCTTGAGACAGACACAGACCGTTTCACCCAAAGTTCACATTTCACCCAAAGTATGCAGTTCATATCCCAACAAAGGACACCCCACACGCTGCCGTGACAAGAACACAAAGAAAAGATATCGTGTTTTTGTGTAGAACTGGAAACTGGGCAGCTGAGTGAAGAACTCTACTGACTGGCTCAGGAGAGTGTGGTTTTGTTTAAGGTGTATGTCCTGTCATACAGAAGTCTTTACTGATATTTACCGTTGGATCAGTTTGTTAATTTCACGATTCAAACATATCTTATGTCTTAAAGTTATAAATGTAATCAGGTTATCCTCATATTTTATTATGACTTTCATGAAAACAAATAATTACATTTCAGGTATAAAATATGAGAATATAGACCCACCCAGGCAGTTCACATTTTTTTTGCCAATACTGTAATTTACGGCAGATCTGTCAACAGCGGTTTTAATTTCTGTGGGAGACGCATCATTCCCCCATTAGTACAGATTCTGCTCAAAGTGTTTAAGCCAATATCCAATTACTACCAATTGTTAATTGTTGAATTGGGAGGGTATGAAATGGAAAATCAAGTAGTGATTCCAATTATTTAAACAACCCACCTACTAAACAACCAACCAAACAACCAAACAGAGCTTGTCCAGGGTGATTCAGCTGTTAAACCGTTCCACAAGTGTCCTTAAACGAGATCAGGAGAACAGAGACCTCCTGTGGGGCATAAGGGTAGTAATTAATAAACAAACTATTACACATCGCCAAAGCGCTTACAGAAATTTGCAATAGCATGGTTTTCCATTTCAGGAATTTCATCTGATTCACTTCAGGCAACATAACTAATCAAACCCCGTGAGTATTGTCTGAAGGTATATAGAGATCAAGGTGGGAGATGATGGCTAAATGGATTCTACTAAGTTCAAACATGAATGTGATTGAGGACAGAGCTGTAGCAAGAGAAAAGAAAAATCAGATTCCAAAAGTACTGCGGTACCCATGCAAGATTTGAAAGCATAATGCTGCCCTAAGCATTACTGCACATGAACCCCTGTACAGTACGTGTGCATATGAAATTCAGTGGGTTGCCAGTGCAGGGGGCTCATGACAGGAGTTACATGTGAGCTGGAATGAGACCAGGTCAGAAATCTTGGGGCTGAGTTCCAAAAAGATTGCAGTGAAACTTGGCAGATTTACAAGTCTAAATTTGGTATAAATTTGTTGCAGCTGCTCCATACCGATAACACAATTACTGTAAAAAAACACAAAACAGTGGAAGAAACAACTAGTTTATTAGATATTTTGGAAAATACTTATTCTTTCTGCATACAGTATGTGTGCTAAAAGTCATTCCCCACTTTACTTAATGAAAGAAAGCAGTACTACAATGTATGAGTAATAAGTTAAGCAATAAAAATTATATTTCATTAAAGTAAACTAATCTTTTATCAGAACCATTTACCTTTTTGTTGCTAAACTTGCTGTTAATTGTGGGAAGTTATTATGAACAACACTCTCTGTGCATATATGTTATCAACTGTACCTAAATAAAGTTTAATCTACTGTTATTGATTTTAGGGATTAAAACGTGAAGACAAAAAAAACAGCTGAATTAGTGAAAGTCAAAGGAATTAAGGGACTTTGAACTATTGACGTCTTTAATAAAAATATTAAACAAAGGTGTCTGCTTCCTTCATATACTGAAAAATGTGAACATCTGTGCACATTTCCCATGTTTTTCCTATATCATACATTATTCATGGGCTCAGAACGTACGAATGCAACAATGTCTCACAATGGAATCTAAAATTTCTAAATAATTTCTAAAAATAGCACTTTTCTATATTAAAATGAACCAAGAAGGAAGTGTCTTGTGTAAACAGGCATGCTTTTAATAAAGCCTGGGCTCTGTTCAGGAGGGACCTTCAAGTTTGCAATTCCAGAATGTTGAAATGCTGTGTGCATTTCAACATATTTTTCTAAGAATTTTATTTTCAGAACACTCGATGGTCAGCTTCCTTTCAGTTATTGCACATTTCAGTGTTGTCTGGTGGACTCCATGCATTGCAAACTGAAGAAATTGAAGATGCTTTCACAGTGCATAGTGCATACATTCAGATTTCCCCTCTTGACAGAGCTGGGGTCTGTGCTCTGGAATCAGAATACATTTTAGATACTAACATTATTTTAATGTATTAAGTAAAAATAAACATATTGATTTTTTGTATATTTATTGCATATTACAATACCTAGACTCTTATAGTACCAAGACTTTTACAGTACCAAGACTCTTGTAGTATCTAGACTTTTATAGCATCTAGACTTTTACAGCACCCACTGTAGATGTTTATAATACCTAGACTTTTATAGCACCTAGATGTTTATAATACCTAGACTTTCACAGGGTGTGAGAAATAAATGTTCATACCCAAAGTGATAAGATATTGGTTCTCATTGTTGGTTGCTGCATTTGACTTTATAAATCTTTTCACACAGTGGTTTTTCTGTATGGTCTCTTCACAGTTCCTTCATGGATTTGCCAGTCCTATTGTTTTCTCTGTTCTCTACATCCTGGACAATTCACAGTCTGCAGACAAACGTTGCAGACAAATGCTGGTTTTAAATAACTTTCCACTGACCTCTTCCCACCTTTCTTAACTTTGATGTCCCATTTAAACTTGTCTTTGTAAACACACATTATCACTAGTTCATCCACTCACAGGAAACCAGCTGCAATCATTGACTTAATAAAATAATTACTATTAAATAAGGTTCAATAAATAATTCAATAACATAATTACTATTAATTAGTGAATCTATTTCACTTTCCTTTTTTTCCCCAAAATCAAGTAACTGCATTTCTTCTTTCCCTTTCATTCTGTGGTTGGCTTATCTTTATTGTTTTATCTCTTCGTTGGCAAAACCTTGAACTGACAACCCCACAAGGAAGTATCGTCTCGAACTTTGTTAGATTAGCGACATTTCCCATCTGCAATCATCCTTATCTTTGTTTTATTTTAATAATCACTGAAAAATAGAGCTTCCATAAAAGAACAGTAACCCGTCAAAGGAAGAGAAACATAATGAAAAAACAGGTCGCAGACATATTTTCCGGAATAGGATGAACAGTGCTGAAAACACCAGAACTGCTCCTCCCTTCACTTGCCAGTGGAAACTACAGGGTGGTTTGAGTGACAAGCACAGTTAACATTAATGATTATTTTACCTTTACCAGAGGCCATGAAGCAGTCTCATTTAAATGAGGCAACTGTGAGTCATTGCTCAAGCCCTTGACTGGTCAAACGGATGGACAAAACCAGTTTAAGGGCAGTGGCATTGACTGCCAAGGATGCAATTGAAGCAGCACAGCCAGTGGCCAGCTGGGTCCAATAAGGCATTTAATATGGCGGAAAAACAGATCTGGTTTGGTTATTTAACTGCTGCCCAGTAACCTCACTATTTCACAGGACAACCCCCTGCCACTCTCCCATCGATGGCCTTCTCCGGCCGACGTACATTGCGCCACACACCGGTGGAGTGGAAAAGGAATTAAGCCATTGAACCTGTGCCACACATTCCACAGAATGCAGACACGAGCCCCCTTAGAGCACACTTGTGAGAATCCGGACAGGGAACGAGGGAAAGCAAGTCCTTAGCAGTGGAAGAGCAGGCAGCTCCCCACCAGGCAGTACCTGGACCAAGGTGTTATACAGGGACTGATTGATACCCCACCACATCCGGCACACAGGACAACACAACCAAACAGTGGCTCCTGTGTGTGGAAACTCGCTTTCAGTGAAATAGTAGGTTATTGTTGCCTAGTTTATTCTGTCAGGACACTGTGCTTTAAGGAAACACTGTACATGTCAGTCAGTTGTTCTACCAAAACAATAGGACATTGT